GACTTGTCTGGGAGGATAAAAACACTGACTTGTACATCGGCTGGCCCCCGCAAGTCATTGTATAGGCCACATCGCATTCGAAATGCCACTACGACTGTACAAATGGAAGAAGAGTGCGTGGCGCGTCCTGAAAAAGGATTGAGCGACGCAAAAAGCATTCATCCTTTTATCCTTGATGGATAACAAAAACAAAATAATAAAAACAAAAAACAAAAGCTTTTATAAATTATATGTTAAAAATATAAAGTGGTTCGTTTCGCCCCAATTTACAATAAAAAATATGATAGATAGTTCGAGCAAAGTAACCCTATTCAGCTTTCAAACTCTATTCAGATACATACTGCCATTGCTATACAGCTTGGGATAGATCAGAGAAAGCCATCATTATTGCTTTCCGAGGAACAGACGGCAGTTACCAAATGGATGATGAGATTTTGAGTTTCTTTGAGTGAGTTCAAATGGAACGACGTTCCTTTCTTCTTCCAAGAACAAAAACATTACTGCTTCAGACACCGAGTGCCCTTTTTCGATAACGGCCATCTATTCAAATATTTCCACGATGCGTTCTTCTTCCTGTGGAATGGTGGCCTTGAGCAACAAGTGCGCACACTCAAGTTTCAATATCCTGATTACCAATTCTATGTGAGTTCGTGTGGAAAAATTATTCTGACCTTGGTTTACCGTTCTGTTGAAAATATCTAAAACCAAGAATCCCTGATATGACCCACGCCTTCACATTTTCAAAAAGTAATTGAATGCGCGCTGCCTCGTATAACGATCCAAGGGCAATTCAAACCAATATATAACCTCTTCAACAGGTCAAAGATCAGCTGATTTTTTAACCTTGCCACAACGCAACAGCTGTGGCGCAATAACCCTGATCACTACTCGTCTGCTGCCTTTTCCGGAGTAGGGTTAGCAGACCACGTTTCGCACTTTTCTCCTGAACCGTTCCTTTTGCGTTTCATTCAAAAACGGGCGAAAAAGGAGAAGGACGTATTCATGGCTTACACTTCATCTGTTCCCCGTCAAACTTGCTCCTCTTTCACCACACCAATTTTCAAGAAGCACTGACCAGTTTGGAGGCAGATTCGGAAATCGCTCAATGAGCATGGGAAACGGATTGCAGGAAGCAAAGTCGGGCGACACTCCTGATTTCATTATCAAGGTGCTCGAGAAGAAAAACGTGCACCTCCCGACCTCTGCGAAAACAAACATGTCGAATGACCAGATGCAGCGTTTGTTTCCAATATAAGAAACATTCAAAATTGCCACACGAGTCGAGAGGGCAAGGCTTACGGGACACTCCACCACGGAAGAAAATCCTGCTATGCTACTTGTCCAAAAATTTGGCTGCTGTTGGGAAACCTATATCGATACGGTAACCGATACACCGGCATTGCATGGCCGCTTCCCATCTTGTGCGGCAGGGAATTCGAAGAAGTCGAACTACTGAGTGATTAACTGGCACACGTGTTGGTCCAGAATTACAACAGCTCGATTTGCTTGGTGCTATGCTGAAAGAGGCGCAGCACTAGCAATTTGCATGCAGCTAGAAAGACTGGCCTTGAACAGAAAGGTGGAGGGAACGAAGTTCTCGAACTTTTAAGCCACCACTTATGCAAATCAGCCGGTTCAAGCGGAGCGTGCGATGAAAAGGCAACCCACTGGAAATGAAGTTAGAAATGGTCAGAGTGGCACAAAAGAAGAAAAAACGAAGAAAAATCGATCAGAACCCAAAAAGCGGGCCTCCTGCTTTTTCCCGTTGATTCCCGCACTGAAGCAACTTTAACAGTGCTATCCACTTCAGCCTAACAGTCTCTGCTGAATGGCTAGAATCAACTTAACTTTTCTTCTCGTGTTACTCCTTGAGGTGTTTCTGGCCTATCACTGAACCAAACGCTGTCGCGGTGCATTCCATGAGATTGATCAACGTGAAGATCTTCCCCTCCGTCCTTCAATGCTTTTGAAGTGGCAAGTGAATCAGCCAAGAGCTGGCTACATTTAGAAATGTCATCTGTTTCACAGTTCTATAGAGCAGTCATCAGGCGATTGCCTTGCTTTAGGTAACTGGTCACTCGCTGGGTGCGTCGATCGCTTCCATCTGTGCCTCATACCTAGTTAAGTGGAATATGACTACGCCAGAAAATCTACGACTGGTCACATTTGGCCAGCCTCGAACCGGCGACTACGACTTCGCCACATGGCATGAGGCTACGGTATGTCCTCTCCATTTGATAAAGTGGTACTTTAATCCAAAGCGGTTGGTTTTACAGTTTCCATACGCCTATCGTATTATTCACCACCGCGATCCTGTACCGCACATCCCACCGAGGCTTGGACGTGACCAAGTGTTCCATCATCGATTCGAAGTTTGGTAAGTGTAACGAAAAATGGTTTAGCGTGCCGAGAATTAGTTGTTATCAAGCTACAACTTCTTAGCCATTTTTGAGCACGATGAAAATTGTGAAAGCCTGACAAAACATGTCCAGCGGCTGACTTATACAACCCACACAAAAAGTTGTATCGTGGATGATTAGACATTGAAAAGAAAAATGATTGGGCAAATGGGTTTAACTTAAAGGCATGCCCCAGGATCGCACTGGTGTGGCTCTTGCACACGAATGCGAATGTATTGGTGCGAAGTGGGCCGGCAGTGAAGAAAAAAGGAAAAGAAAAGAATCCGTCGAAAACGCTCAGGTTAAGGGCTCACTCACCTTCCTAATCGGCTGTGCTAAGGGAATGAGAGACTAAGCGCGGAGAGGAGAGTATGAGGAGAGAGCGCTACAGATGAGAGAGCGCCAGACAACAGCCTGATAAGAAAAAAAAGTCTGCAGCTTCAGCAGCTTACTTTGCAAGGCCCAAGCGCTCTTGTCGGTTGGTTTCCGTGCACGGAAACGCCACATTTGTGATTGTCCTCTAGGGGTCTATGCTATAGACCAAAGAGAAGCGTTCACACGACCGTTGCCTGGGTTGTGCCTTTAAACATTCCTCAAACCTTTGCTCAGCTCTGCTGCTGACAGGAGGCCCTTCGCGCGGCGAGGAGGCAGCGATGCAGATGAGTGAGTGGAGGAGCGCTTATTGTGCGATGTGAGACGTACTATAGTCCATTCTGTTTAACTTTACGGCAAATCGCTACGATACGCGCTGCGATTCGTCCGCCTCGCTGTCTCCTCGCTTCCTGTCGGGTACTCCAACATTTCGACAACAGCGTTGTACCAGATACCATTATTATGTACCTAAGGCTAGTTCAAAGGCTATTTCTTGTTAAACTGACATCTTCTTAGAAACGCGTAAGTTCCGTAAAAAGGTTCCCAGCTTAATCGACGACTATCTTCTGGTTAGTCAATTCGACAACAGTGAACAAGTCAGTATTCCAGTCAATTCCATCGCATCCGAGGTCATACACAAAGCAGTTCGTGGGCTACGAACAGAATGAATAACGGTCGAGGAAATCCGACCATGGCTCTCTACTGTGCGAGAGTAGTGCCGAGAGTGAACATACGCGCGGAGAGCACAGACGGCTCGCGCATGGCGAGTGTGAATGTCCGCGCGGGAGAACGTAACTGATCAGCGAGAATCCTCGACGTGCCGTTGAGGAATCCTCAAGCGATATTCACCCTGCACGGGCATCCTTTGTTCGTATTTCTTGGACCGTTGGTGTCGCGTACGTGTTTGAAACCGTTTTACACTCCTCTGCAAAAATGCAGGTCTGTGTAGGCACGCTTTTAGAATGAGTAACCCTATATACGATAGGACACAAATGCACTTGATTGAAAAGTGATCAGTTTGACACATATTTAAGTGATGACAATGAGATAATACAGAAAATGGCAACGAATGCAATACCTACCCAACACGTTCCAATTATAATGGCATTCCCAATAAATGTAATTTAGCATGAAAAACGGAAATTTTAACGGCAGAGTTTCCTCAATGGATGCGCCGTACATACGAATATGGAATGTGATCGACTACATTTTTAGGTATGACAACGACATGGCCGTTGGACAACCCTACACAATCTGTAAAGAATCAGATGGTGACTACTGCAGTAACACTGTAATCAGTCCAATTTGGAATGATCACGACTTCGTACATTAATCGAAACCCTCGAGCCTGGAGCGCCGCGAAAGGATGCCCGCGTTAAAGCCGACTAAGGAAAGGAAACATCAATATTTCAATAAACTTTTTTAGTTGGGTTTTTTTCTGCAAAAAAAATCAACAGAACATAACACTCGTTTACATGAAGAGATAACAATAGGCTGGACTGATTGATAATTCTCAAATTAGAACCACAGAATTGTATCACCCTAAACCAAGCAAATTTTGCGATGTGCCGCGCTTGGAATTTCCATTCAAAATAAGTAGCGGTGGATTAAAAACAGGGTTGACTGGGTGAAGGAATCCCAATGAGGCTAAGGGAGGGCCCACTCGACTAGTCGAGGCAATATGGTCATAGGCACAGGGATCAACAACAGAACAACAGTGAATGGATTTGCGAGAAGGGAGCGGCACAGGGAATAGCACTTTTGAAAGCTCCAGAAAGCGTTGCCATCATTTTTGTTCAGCTGTACCGGGGTCTTTGCAAAGGAAACTGCACATATATAGCAGCGTAAGTGAAGCCATTAGATTGAAGCGATTGCAAGGCGACTTTTCGACGTTTTAAATCGAACTCCTTCTAGCACTGAGCAATAACAATCTTCAATATGCACAGCATCTCTTTTAGCAAATTCTCGACAGCAACCTGCTGAAAATTGGACCCTTTCTGACCAGCAGGCCGATTTTTCCGAATTAAAAAATACAGGGAATTTGAAATACTTCTGATGAACCTGCTTTTAATGTATGACCACTGTGGAATTTTTCAAGTCGTGCACGAGCTACACAACAACATACACAATGTAAGAAAACAGTTTTAAAGGCAAGAATCAGGATTAAATTTATGTGGTCACTCAAATGTGAAAGTAGGGATGGGAGGTGGACTACCAGTGGAGAAAAAAGGAAGAAAATCGTGAATTACAAAGGAAATACGAGCCTTCTTGCTCTGAGCTGCGGAGAAATTTAAAGGCAGAATTTACGATGAAAAGTTAGCTCATTGGAAATAAGGGTAGAGGTGGTCAGTGGAGCAGGATGAAGAAGAAACCATTGAAACGGCCCGAAACCCGAGAAATGGGACCCCTTCCTTGCCCGTTGATTGCGCATTGATGCGACTCTCATCGCTGTGCCCTCTTCAACACTACGCTCTCTCTGCTCTAATCACTCGCCACGTATAGACCTGCGGCGAGTGATTAGATAGTCGGTGGGCGTACCCCGCCAACCGCGCCAAGAGTGAGCCATGCTAGATCGCCGAGGTCAAATCTTTCGCTGCCAATTGCGCGTCGGTCAGCACCCTCAGGAGGTCCGCCTGTCTCCCAACTATGCAATTTCCCCCTTCTTTGACCTTCGTTCTTATCGTGAATTCCTCCTTTAAAGGCATGCAGGAAGTAGAGAGATAATGTGAGCTCGGAGAATGGTAGAGAAGTCCGAGTAGAGAGAGCATAGCAGATCAAGTTAGCGACGCGGACAAGATATCGAAAGGTGGGCGGACCATGTTAGCCTTGACGGAGGTTAATAATCCTTGATCTATGAGTCGAGACATACAACATCTCGAAAAATGAACCTGAGGTTACGAAGGCATTGATAATTACTTACTAGGAAACCGACACAAGGACCTCTCCATGAGCCCAGACTACTACCACAGCACTTCCCTCTTCATAAAACTTTCGTTGAGAAGATCATTTAGCAGATATAGAAAGGATTGTCCAGTCCACCGATGGACGGTCAAGTCTTCGGATCACGTGGGATAGCTAGGGCTGCGAATTAGCCAGAGCGCGCCCAGCGTTTAAGGGCTAATGCAACACCATATACCCCATCAAAGGCATGATCAAACTTAGTTGGCTTCTCGCACATGTGAATTGAAGCACTGGGGCGAAGTGAGCATTCGAAAAAAAAGGAAAGAAATCTGTCGGAAAATTAAGGGCTTGGTCATTTGATCGGTGGTGCTAAGGCAACGAGAGACAGGGCATGAAGGAGGGACGCAAGTGCA